TGCACAGGATTTTGCAGTCAGAGCAAGTTTTCATTTTGCCGGCTTTGCCACCTACCAGCTCCATGTCTATGTCAAGTGACCACTCTGAGCCTCAGTTTCCTTACTGGCAAAATGGATATAATAATACCGAACTTCTAGGATTTAACTCTGAAAAACGTTAAGAGATATGAGTAGGTAACTTGCAGAAAAGAAAAGCAAATGGCTGGTGAAACATAAAAAGATGTTTCCTCAAAGTCTTCAGAGAAATGCCCATAAGGCCAGATGCCCTTTTTTGCCCATCAGATTAGCTGATAACTGCATGTTGACAAGGGTGTGGGAAAATGCAGGTTAAAACAGGTCACCCAGCTGTGCCCATCAGGCAAACAAGTAGAAGGACTGATAGCATCCGGTGGGGAATGAGCAGGCTCCTTCCCTTTGGGGAGGCATGTGAACTGCTCCATCGTTTTGGAAATGACGCGGTAGTAGCTAATAAAAAAATTTAATGAGTATGCCCTTTGACCTGGCAAACCCACTTCCAGGAAACTGTCAGTGAGAAATAAAATCACCAGATGGTAGAAGAGATATCAGGACAGTGAAATACTATAATAGCCACACACACGAAAGGAAATAATTATAATTACCCTCTGGAGGGATTGGCTACCTAAATACTGACATGTAAGGGCTAGAAAGATGTTCATATTTTTATGTCAATTTTATGTCCTTCTACTTTGCTCGATTCTTTTTATTTTTTATTTTTTTGCTTGAGTTAGTTGTACCACAGATTTTCTGGGGTTTTACAGGTATAGTATCAGATCGTCTGCAAATAGGGACAGTTTTATTTATTCTTTACCCATTCTTATATTGGTAATTGATTTCTCTTATCTAATTGCATTGGCTAAAACTTCTAGGACAGTGGTCCCCAACCTTTTTGGCACCAGGGACCGGTGCTCCTATGAGAATCTAATGCCTGATGATCTGAGGTGGAGCTGAGGCGGTGATGCTAGCGCTGGGGGGCGGCTGCAGATACACCTCCTGCTGTGTGGCCCAGTTCTAACAGGCCAGGGACTGGCATCGGTCCGTGGCCCAGGGGTTGGGGACCCCTGCTCCAGATGTTTGTTTGTATTGACAGGGGAGCATGTATCTATGTTGTTAAGTTAAAAAAAAAAAAATTGCAAATAATAGATATGATCCTTTTTTGTAAATACACATGGAAACATTCTAGATATGTATATCTGTCTCAATTTGAAAAAAAAAATATCCCTACAAAACTCTGTGAAGAGATAAATATCAGCATGTTAACACTGGTTTCCAGAAGAAGCTGGGCCTGTTAGAGTATTATTACTTTTTACCGTCTATCTCTATAAATAGTTTGTTAACCACAAGAATGTGTTTCTTAATTTGAATAATCTAATGTTAAAGTTTGGTCTTTAAAAACATATAAGCAAAGGAAATGAAGTGATGAGCTGTTGTGAACACTGAGTGAGACAATGCTTCATTAACCTGGTACCTGGAACATCGAAAGTGCTCAAAGATAGTGTTTTCTCTTATTACCTCAGCCGATCCTGACAGTCACCTTCTAGGAAGAGCCTACTCTTCCCCCCATTTTACAAATGAGATCCTCCACCTTGAGCTCGGACACCCCCTCTGGGGTCCCTCAGTCTGCCCCACTGCCCACCAGGGCCCCCACGGCGCTTACCTACTGACAGGGAGCCCCGTGCCAGTTTGGGGAGCAGAAGGTCAAGCTGGCGGAAGGTATGGAAGACGTCGGCTGAGTGGACGCGGTCCTGGGCTTGGCTCTGGTGGGTGCGTGGCAGTGCCTCGACTCCGTACAGAGTCAAGTAGCCGGCTCTGAGGGTGGCAAGCGATAGATCAGGGGTCCTCCTGGAGCACTCCCGGCCAAGCCCTCCCATCACAGCCACATGCTTTTCTCCATTCACACACCCACATGAGCACCTGCTTTTCCTGCTACATGCCTGGACCGTTCTGGGCCGGTCACTGTGAGGAAAACGGACAAAGCCATCAAGGCCTCATGGAGCGGACACTCTATTGCAGGGGACAGACAACAGACAAGAGAAAGGAGAGGAGGAGTAATATGTCAGCGGGCGCTCAGAGGTGTGTGGGAGGGGGTGCAGGACGGGCTCACCCTTAAGCTGAAACCGGAAGGGTGAGGAGGAGCCGTCTAGGAAAGAACAGAGGGGAGGGATTCGAGGCGAAGGCCACAGCGAGTGCCCACGTCCTGAGGCAGGAAGGAGATGGGAGTGTCGAGGACGAGCAGAGTGAGCGAGGGCGACAGTGGGGCCTCATGGGGCCTCGCTGAGCGGGAGGGGACAGAGGCAGGGCCGGTCTGGGAGCTGGCAGGGCTGGGCACACGGGGCAGGGCAGGGGTGGGGGCTGGACCTGAGGGGGCCCGGGGGTCTGAGCAGGAAAGGGGCAGGGCCTGGCGGGGCGTGGCACGCACACGTGGGCGCGCACACACACACCACCCGCAGGAACACTCCCAGAGGAAATGTTTTCACCACCGGCCACTTTGCTCCAGGAGCCCGGCCCCAGCCTCAGGCCCAGTGGCCTCAGTCAGGGGGTGGGGGAACCT